TTACTTTGCATTGTTTACGAATGTCGCACATGCCCTGTGCCACTTTTGTTTCATATTCCTCATCAGATTCACGTGGTGCTAACAGCTTTTGTATTGCATACTTTGCAGTTACGGTGGGGGTTGGGCTCACGGTTGTGGGGGAAATATGGAGAATAACCAGTGGCTCTATGAACTGCTGTTCCATGAGCAAATAACACCCCATTGAGACAGGAGAGCCAGTTGTTATCTTTTTCGTCTAGAATTTGTCTGAGTTTTTCTTTTACGGTATTTTGGCGTTCCACAAGACCACTTACTTAAAGAGAGCATGCGCTGGTTACCTTCTCTTTGACTTCCAATAAGTTCGTGTAAGAATTAATACCTGGTGGACGAACTCCTGACCTGTGATCATTTCTCTGTATTATTATAAGCTAAAAAAACACACAGTTAAGCATTAAAAGCAACGTTTCTTTCAACGGTTTGGCTTGTGTCCTTTTTTAATTGTAATCAGTAGTCACAACTATATACTTGAACCTCCATTCTCTGAGTTTTCATGTCTATTCCGATTTGCTTCATGACAGTATTTGGAACAGGTACTGAATTCAGTTCAGTGCTTCATTCAACATCATTGGGTTGAGTTTTTGAAAGGCTTTCACATAGTCACATCAGCTTCAACAGATAGCCAGTAAAACTGCTTGTAAGTATGATTGTAGCAGCAATTCCAAGGGTCTGTACTTTGTGTACTTTGTGCGGGTTCTTCGTGAACTTCTTCGGTGACACAGTTGACTTCTTGGCGTCACAATACTCGTACCTACAGTATATAAAGCCACCAAAAACCAAATTTAAAAAATAATCAACTTTTGATAAACCCATCACAGAAGAAATCTTAAAAAAATATTATTACCCCAACAAAGCATCAAAATTTTTACCACAAAATTGAAGCTGTTGTAAATAGAATATATTATTATCGCCATTGGGTTATCAATGCGCTGTTATTTATTGCAGCACAATTTGCCCTGGTGTATACAGTGTAGAAAGTTCTACATCTAAGACAATTTTTGCCTTTTACCATTTGTCTTTCAAAACACCAGGATAAATATGCTGGTTTAAAGAAGTAAAATTATCTTTGATAACAATTTTGCCTCTGTACAGTGCATCCATGGATCTGTTAAGAGAGAGTCTTATTAAACAACGCTGTGGAGTCACTAACAAAATCTTGAAATATAGGCAACAGTCTTGTCATTCAGGATCTAACCTGTAACCTGTCGAATCACCTCACATGGGTGTTAACTGTAAGCAAATCATTGTTTAGTGTAAGAAACCCCAACGAATTTGAAAAAAAAATCTTAATCTACAATACCCGCGTTGACTTACCAGAAAGATAGATTTTAATGCAAATAAATCTTTACAACTCCCTCGAAACCCTTAACTTGACAAAAATATGAGTTTACCCTACACGTGTGAATTACAATATATAAAATCTGTCACGAACGATCTTAATTTAGTAATTGCTCTTAAATATCATTTTTTAGCTCGAAAAGATAATTTTTTAGAAAAAAAGGGAGTTTATACTAACATAGAATATATTATCAAAATTGTAACTTAATTTGCCGTAAGTGTAGAAATTGGTATCTTAGAAATTTTGAACCTCGTAAGAAAATTATAAATAAATATGCTTTTAGGATTCCTAACACCAAATGTCATTCATTTGCCATGCAAGTCAAAATGACCATACTAAGAACTGCGAATCCAGTAATTTGTTGTGCACATGGAACAATTATGTAAAATTAATAATAATAGAATTTGTGTGGATTTAATAAAAAAAAATATTAGATGAACAGCCATTTGAACTCTACAAAAGGCTGCCTCTCCCATTAAAAAGGAAGTCAATGTTATTTAATTGTTGACAAAAACGAAATACTGTATAGCCTACTAGAGTTTGGCCCCACCCTCTACCACCATCACTGGGTGGCCCCACCCTCTACCACCATCACTGGGTGGCCCTACTCTCTACCACCATCACTGGGTGGCCCCACCCTCTACCACCATCACTGGGTGGCCCCACCCTCTACCACCATCACTGGGTGGCCCCACCCTCTACCACCATCACTGGGTGGCCCTACTCTCTACCACCATCACTGGGTGGCCCCCCCACCCTCTACCACCATCACTGGGTGGCCCCACCCTCTACCACCATCACTGGGTGGCCCCACCCTCTACCACCATCACTGGGTGGCCCCACCCTCTACCACCATCACTGGGTGGCCCTACTCTCTACCACCATCACTGGGTGGCCCCACCCTCTACCCCCATCACTGGGCGGCCCCATGCACCCTCTACCATTAAGAGGCCCTGCTGGACGCTCCAAGATCGCCGTAACATACATATTGCCTCTCCTGTTCATCCTATTAATGTGCACCGATGTCTGTTGTATCCATCTTTGGTGTATATACAGTGTGTGTAGGGGGGGGGGGGTGTTCAACCTATGTATTTTGTATACTCAGAACTCTTTCGAACTTTCTGTTTGTTTTCTTCATCTGGTAATGATATGCTGGCATTTTCTTATATAGGCGTATTAAATATTTCCTTGGTCCACTGTTGATCTACTCCTACTGTGTTCACAACCACATGTGTACTATCGCAATAGTAGCGTGCGAGGGCCGAGAGGTGGGTGAGTGGGGGGGGGGTGAACGGGAATGGGTGAAGTGACTGAGGCAAAAACTGTTCGCCATAGATAAAATTAGGACCGCGCCTGAAACCTCCGACAGGAAGCTGCTAAGTGTAAATCGAATTATTTTAATATGGGATATCCTGTGTGGAAGTTGGGCGTCTATATGTTTATTCATGTAAAATTATAGTCTAGAGTAATTATCCACTCACTGATCAATACAGTTAATATAAAAGGAAAAAAATAAAGATTAAAACGAAAACCATAAAGATTAATAAAGGTTTCCCAAAGCATATTGGCTGACACAGTTGAGAAACGTTAACTTCGCTATGCAAGATATGGTTGAAAGGCTCTAGAGGCACTTGAAAAGGCATTGCAAGCGAGGCAGCCACGGGGTTATCTGGGCGTGTAGAGATAGAATGTGAAGTGAAGAGCATATGAGAGAATGAAATTATAGGAAAAATTTTGAGGAATTATAGAGAACACAAAAGGGGACTTTGAATCTCTTGTATCATATTATAGAAAAAACTGAAACACACAGAATGAGAAAAAAAATTACCAAAGTAAAAAGAATAACCAAAAACTAAAGGAAGATTCAGGAAAGTTGACAGAGTGAATAAATTTGAAATAACGAATCCTTAAAAAAATGGCATTCAAGTGTATGAAGGATATTTATATGATAGATAGAGGCAAAACAGAAATTTACATGATAGCATACTGGCGAATGATAACGAGAGACAGAATATTGAGGCAGCCTTCATACAACTGATAATGGTGATATCAGATTCGTTAATATCGTTACTCCATCCTGGAATAAACACAAAAGAGCTGAAACCGACTATAAACAGAATAAAGGACAGTGGGACGGAAAAACACTATACATTACTGTACAAGAGAAATGGACAGAGTAGTAAGTTACGAGATAAGATACCATTAATCAACAGTTGAATGCAGTGTACAGTAAATTGCTTCTGGGCACAGTGAAGTAAGCCACATAACTATACACGGTAAAGCAAAAGGAGAAAAATCTTAGTAAAGTGTTCCGATAACAACTCTCTGCTCGGTGATGAGTTATCTCGGAGTCAGGTGTAAAGCCGGCCTGCTGTTGTTCTCAGGGTGGACGGTTTTAACACTGTCTGGTCAGAAGATGGTTCCCAGGGTTATTTCTTTACGCCATTTGTTTCTGTCTACCAGCAGTAATTGGAGAGCTTTATTTGAATCGATTTACAGATCGTGTTCTGGGGTAATGGTCAGCCAGTGTAGTTGGTGAGTTATCCGGTCTTCTTGGATTATTCCTTGACACTGGGTCACACAGGTCATTAACATAGGCCATATGGTGTAGTTGTGTTGGCGAAGCTTCTACTGTGTTCAACACCCTTAAAAAAAATCACGCCTCAGTTGCCCTAGGCCGACTGAAGATAGGGCCGGCCATCCTGGAACACAACGCCCCCCCCCTTAATGTTCCATGGGGGGGGAACCATTATATAATATTCATTCACAGGAACATGCGAAATTTATAAAATAAGGCGCTGTGGTTTATGTTTTAAGTGTCCATCACTTCGCTTCTTTTGATATACGGACTTTGGAGTGTAGTTCGTATCAGTGGTAAGAATTATCATTAAAGTGTATTTGTATTTATTTTATCCCCATTTTCGTATTTGTGAAGAAACTCATACAAGCAATATTAACAAAATATATGTCAAACTCTATTCAAATGTATATGTTCTTGTAATTATATTAATTTCATGCTTATAATTATATTTCGTAAATATATTAAACATAAAATGAATATAATTTACCAAGGAGAGGAACAAATTATATGTAATTCAAATTTTCCGCTTCTCGACTGACGAGCCGCAGTACGGTCTTGTTGCGCCTCTAGTCCGCTTAGGTAAGTAGTTTCAGTAAAATCGAATTTTCATTATATATATTTTTAGGTGAAAATATTTTATATTAGGAATATTTATTGAATGGTGTAAAATTTATTAATTATATCAAATGACAGTCTGCACGGAAGTGATAAGGAGCCAGTGGTGCCATTCTCACTGATGATCCTAGTTTGATATCTTTATTTATGTACAAATGGAATATATTTTCCCGGTTTATCTCATCTTTTCTTTTTTGCTATGAAATATTTGATACCAAAACTATGAATCGTACAAGTTCATGTAAAACCATTTTTACGAAAACTATTTGGGTTATCTTGTGTCTTGCCAGAATTATTTGATTAAATTGTCACAATGAAAGAAAATACCCGAGAAAACTTATAATTTCCAGTGATGAATGTGTATTTATAGGTCAAATATCCCCCAAGCCACTTGAAGAGAAAATATAGTGTCTGACCACCCACGCTGAGGGCTGGGAGGGAGATGTGGCAACGGTGTGTTGGTAGCAAGTGTAATGGAAGGGAGCGAGACATCCACCCTGTGTTTATTTTAGAAGAATTTGGTCTATGCACAGTTTTTTTTACGAAAGAGAAGAATTCAACATACTACATAGGTTATAGACAGGCAGGTATGATGTCTGTATGTTGTATCACCGAGTGTTTGGTGCCAAGTTAATGGTTAAAATGGTGAATATCCTGGGTGGGTGCAGTGTGATTCAGACCTCTTCTTGAGCTCTTATCGCAGGTTTAACAGAAATGAAATGGGACACCTCTTTCACTCAATGTGACTTAAAAACTGGTGAGAGGAAGTGTTTGGTGGAGAGGGTTCACAGTGGCGACTTGTAAGGGGCGAGGTGTTGCTCTGTTTTGGTTTGAAAATTTTAGTGACCAGGGCTATTATACTACAGAATGGTCCTCTGAATGTTATTTTCTTATATTTTTACCCAGTTTTACTGTACCACTTTTGCTGTAGAGGGAGCAGACAGGCGGTGGTGAGTAGACTTATATCCATGTGTGTCATTCGCTAGGCAATTTTGGGTGGACTTGGTGATTGTAGGTACATTAAATTACCATTATGCAGTTTATTGTCCCAGGGTCAGAGTTTTGCACTGTGGTGTTGGTAAATGTAAAGTATATTTGGGCAAATATTCGTCCATTGGTTGTCCTCAGGTTTTGGTACGAGAATAGGTTTATTTGGTGTTTTTTGGTGTATATTACTCAAATCTGACCTTCATTTCTTGTGCAAATTAGCGTTTTTTGCAAAAAATTAACAGTTAAATTTTTAACAAACCGCTTATTTGCACAAGAATGGAGGTCAAATATGAGTAAAGCACCAAAACACACACACACAAAACTATTCTCATTCCAAAGGAACCAACCCACCTAACCTAACATACAAGGAGAAGACAAGTGACTCCTAAGTGAGGAGTATAACCTCAGGCAAACATGGTGGGAACCTGCGGACAGTCAATGGACGAATATTAACCTTATTTTGATACAAATGTCTTTCATATATGGTTTACCTAGTGGATATTTTGCAGTGAGCAGTTAAGTTCTAACTAACGCTATTTTACTGTAGGCGCTCTCTGATTGGCTAATCGTCCATTACCAGTGAACAACGCGAAAACTATAATTGACCGTGACCGGCGGCATTTGGCATCTATTTCACCATGAGGCGATCGTTGTGTTGCTGTAAACATACCTGAACATATTATGTTGAGCATGAAAACTTATCATTATAAAAGAGGCGACATTTACTAGAACCTAATAGAACCTGATCTAACCAACCAAAGATGCCTACCTAACTTCCCGGGGGGGGGGACTCCCCGTCGTATTAAACAGAAAGTACTTCGCCATTCAAAGCGCATTCACGGTAAAATAGTGTTAGTAGGAACTTAGCTGGTCGTGGCAAAATATCCACTTTTCTGAAAGTGTGTTTGTATACTGTACATATGTATGGTTGTTTACAAATTTTGTTTATATGTAATTTTGAATCACCTGAAGAATCATTGCCCCATCTCTTTTCACCTGAAGATTAACTACCTTAATGCTAACTTAACCTAACCTAAACCTATTCTATTCTAACCTAAATCTAACCTAACATATCCTAACCTAACCTCATCCTCCCAAAATAGTTTTAGGGTGGTTTAATCTTTAGGTGAAATAAGCTGGGGTGATGATTCTTCAGGTGATCCGTAATTTTGTATTGAAATAAGACTGTCCAGTGCCGATTATTGACTTCAGAGTTATTTATAATCAGGTAGCAGAATAACACTTGAACTTACAAGCCAAATAGATTCATGGTAAGTATGCAAGTAAATAAGAGCTCTGAATATGTTTACAAAATGGCAATGTTTGTGACTATAGCATTATATAATTTATAAAAGATAGCATGAACCAATGGAGGAGATGGTTAACACCAGAAGGCATTGGGTAAATACAGGTACAGTATTCGTTTAATGGCTGATAGGTTAGGTTTCAACAGTCATTTGGAACTAGAAATTGTTATGAAATTTTATTTGTGTGTGTGTGTGTGTGTGTGTTTGTATTTAGGTGTGTTTTACTCAAATTTGACCATCATTTCTTGTGCAAATGGGTGAATTTTGTCAAAAAAAAAGTTTTACAAAATCCACTCAGTTGTCCAAAAAATGAAGGTCAGGTTTAAGTAAAACACACCTAAATACACATACACGCCCCCCCAAAAAAAACCTGTTCTCATAACAAACAGGAGCTACAGCCATTAAACAAATATTTACCCAATGCCTTATGGTGTTAGCCATCTCATCCAGGATTACAATTTTGTTTATTTTCCTCAGATGTTATCATTATAGTAAGTATTTTAAAGAGGCAAAGTTTACTAGAACCTAATAGAACCTGACATAACCAACCAAAGAAATCTACCGAACCTCACCTAACTTCCTAGCTACTGCCTGAACCCTCTGCCATATTAAACAGATCGTACTTATTTTGATATCCACGACCAATGAAAACAACTTTGTTGAAGTGTCACGGTGTAATTTTGAGTTTTTTTGTGGACGTGAGAATACTGTACGCTCAGACTGAGCTTGTTGGTTGTAAACAACCTGAACAGACGACAACATTTGGTGACTCAAGATTTTTTGGACGAGTGTTTATGGTACATAATTAATTTCTTCACGTACAAAGCACATACAGACATAATTTTAGTGTCATATGGTCAGTTTTTTTTACTGTGTTTTACCCCACAATTTCCCTCATCCTCCATGCCCTGCCCACTGCAGGTGATATTATGATCATAGATAGAGAAAAACTTTTAAAAATTATGTTTATAATTAAAACAAAAAGTTGTCACCTCTTTTAAAATACTTACTATAATAAGAACATCTGTGGGAAAAATTAACAAAATCTAACAACTCCTGGTGTTTGCCATCTCCTCCAATATTACCCTGTCTTTTATAAATTATTTAGTGCCAGAGCCTTTTTGTATTTGTTTGTGAGTTAAAGGTGGAGACCACTAGCACCAGAAGAACTTTATGGAATTGCACCAAATTTTCAGATGTTGTTTGGATAATATTGAACAATAAATTTGAGGCATCAACATTCAATCATAAATTACTACCTGTTACTGGGCTGGGCATGAAAGAAGAGGGAAATAACAGGGTAAAAACACTGCGAACATTGATCATATGGCAGTAATTTCACATCTCTACGTCATTTGTAGGCAAAGAAATCAAATATTTACCGTAATTATGGTGCCGTCGCCACGATCATGTTTTGGGTCATGTCCTCTGCCATGGAGCATCCGCGATCATTGTTACATGTCAAGAAACCAACGGTAATCTCATCGGGCATTTTTATTAAGAAGTTAAGTGAGGTTAGGCCAGGTTCTAATAGGTTCTCTGAATTTTTGCCTTCATTTTTGTGTTCAGTATCGTGCAAATAGAGTCTCCGGAAATTTTGGTTCAATTCCATATGTTATTTCTGGTGCTAGTGGTATCTTCTACCTATACCATTGTTAATTGTGGCCAAACAATTGGTATTAACCAGTTACGTTTTATTTCTGCTTTATTCTACTGTACTCCATACCGTCACAAGTACAGTAATGTATTTCTTTCTTGGGACATTTTAAGTGCAGCACACCTGCCATATTTTACTGGATTTACTGTTATTATTAGTGCTTACTGATAGAATAGTGTTAAGAGTGATTAATTGTGGCATTGTAGTTAGGTTGGCTCGTCATTGTAACCACCAGGCTACTGGACCAAGCTGTGAGGTGTTATGGTTTTTTCAACTCTTATATTTGGGTAGATATACGTAACTTTCTTCATTTATTTTTATTCGGTTAATTGCACACACCATCCTAAATACATATTGTGAAAAAAAAACAGAAAGAGAAATAATTGTCTTAAGGGCAAACATGTAATGGGAGGAGAGTGCAGGGTGTTGCTAGGGAATTGGCATCCCAGCTAATCTTTGTTGCTTTGGGGAAGCATACATTTTGTTGTCTTGTTTCTGATTATTTGTGAGAGGATTTTACACACACACATATACAGCTTCTCCCCGACTTACAACCTACTCGACTTACGACCACCCGCACTTACGACCTGCCTCAGTCGTACCAAAAAATTTTAAATTACCTATTTTTGAGTCCCAACATCAGTGCACAGACAAAATTTTCATTTGTAATTCACTTTAAAATGGCTGGCAAGCTTAAAAGTGAGAATTTTGTGGTGCTGAGAAGAAAAAGAGACACCTTTTTAGATTTTCTATGTATTTTTTAAGCATTTTCGACTTACGACCTGGATTTGGGTCCTTAACCCCGTCTTAAGTCGGGGAGGAGCTGTATACAGTACAAAAAAAATACATTATTGTCCAAAGGGCAAACACATAAAGTGAATGAACATTTCTTTGCACACGAGTGAAAATGTAACACCCCCCCACCTCCGGTCAGCAAATGATATGCGCGGATTTGGCAATTCACAGCCATTTTGAGACCCAAACCCCCGCGAATTTGAAGGGCATGCTGTATTTACCAATGACACTTTCCAAAATAGAAGATCTCCCACCAATCACATTTCAGGATGCAATCTTTTTGCCAAATTCTAAAATAGAGATGCTAGGTCTCACCATTTCCTCTAATATGTTATGGAAGCCACACATCCACAACATTGCTAAAGCTGCCTCCCAAAAGCTGGGAATGCGGTACAGATACCATAGCTACTTCACTCCTGAGCAGTTGCTTCAGGTTTATAAGGTATTCATTCGTCCTAACTTGGAGTACTGCTCTCATATCTGAGGTGGCTCTTCTTCTGCCCAACTGTTAGATAGGGTGGAATCAAAGGTATTTCGTCTTATTAACTCGCCTCCTTTAGTCGATAATCTCTCTTCCCTTTCTCTTCGCCGCATTGGTACCTCACTCTCTTTTACAGATACTTGAACAGGCAATGTTCATTAGATTTTGGAATCCTGTTTTTTCTTTTTTTCTTTTTTACGGGGATTAGCCCACCCGGGCACAGGTCACTGACCCACATTGGGACCTGGGGGGCGAAAATGTAATAATAATAATAATAATAATAATAATAATAATAAATAATAGTCATAATAATTCATAATAAATAAAATTTATGATAAAACAAACAAAAATAAAATAATAAAATAATGATAATAATACAGTAACTGTAATAATAATATTAATAATAAAGAACTATAAATACAAAAATGAAAAAAAAGATCAAAAGTGAGAAATGATATATGTATGTTGTGTTGTCAATGATAAGAGAAACAATTGAGTCCCTGCAATTGCGTGTAAATGAAGCAGAAAGTCAGATCAGCAACCTGGGACTTGGTCACAATTTTTGTGATGCCATATGGCAGCAGGGTCTGCCATTAAACAACACATTATGCTTCCAATATCTTCCCAGGCGGTAGTACCTCCCTGTTTGGTAGCTGCCTACTACCTACTACAAGGCAGTGGGCTTGTAACACTCGTCTTGCCCGTGGTGCCAACCGTTTCTGTGTGAATGTTGGTCACACGGGAATAACCCGTCATAGTACATCCTTTCCTTACCCAGCCATATTGTCAAAGGCTCTGTCTTCTATGTTTCCATACTCTTACAATCTGTCTCACTAGAAAAGGCTGGATATCCAGAACCTTCGTGGTGTACATTCACATAGTCTTTTTCTCTTCTATTTTTATTTGTTTTCTTTCTCTTATTTTTTCACTCCTCCAGGCCCTGTTGTGGGTTGATGACTTGTGCCGGGGTGGGCTATTCCCCGAGAATTTTTTTTTCTTTTTTAGAGCAATTTTTTTTTATTTATTTATTTTTCCACCGGAGACGTGTACATTGGTACTTTAATTGTATATTGGTGCCCTCTGTCAGTTTGAGGTTTAAGCATGGGTTGAAATCCATAGCTAGCCTGCTAGACTTTTGGCATACAACTGACCCAGTTATGAAATAGATTTTCCTGAATCAATCCTTGATTTTTTCCGCTTTATGCTGTCAGCTGGGAATGTAGTGTACTGTATAGTATAATTGGGTTTCATCAGTTGTACAGTACCTCTGGTTTAATGTTGTTTTTTATGCATAATTCACACTTTCAGGCATCTCAATTAACTTGGTGACAAAGTGATACCATTAATTAACAGGATGCTTTAATTATGAACTCATTATTTTCTGGAAGGAAATATACAGTGCTGTACCTTTAAATTTTCTCCCTGAATATTTATGAAGCTAATTACAGTAAAGCTATATAATTCATCCACAAGAATAAAACACTTCAAAAGAATTTCCAAAATTTAGATTTACTGAAAATTAAAAAAGATTTTGATTTGAAGTTTTTAAAATTATTAATTAAATATTGTAGTGAACATTTTTTCATTGAATGTTTTATCTTCAGAATTTTCAACATGGAAGCGGTAGCAAAACATGACTTTAATGCCACAGCTGAAGATGAGCTCAGTTTTAGGAAAGGGCAAATCTTAAAGGTAAGTTCATGCAATTATTCATTTCCAAAATACAAATTGTTGAAATGGTTTGCTTTCGTGAAAATGAAGAGTGGAATTTAGATAAGTATTTAATGTACAGTACTGTATTTAGATGATTACAGTACTGTACAGTATATAAATACACTACTGTAAAATCTAAAATATTCAAGATTCAAGAGTCCTTGGTTTCAGATTTAAAGCCTTTTTTTTTTTTAATTAAACATGATTTTGGAAGTTTAAGCACTCTAAACTCTGTGGGGTCACTCTACCCACGCATTCATTGTCTTGTGGCCTATTGCATTGTAGTGTTTGCTGTGACTGACTGTCCCCTCCATTTTTTTTTGTCTTTCTGAGACCAATTAATAGTGACATTTGCAATATTGTGTTGATCTTAATGTCATGCAAAAAGTTGACAAAAGAAAACAACTAGACAAAGGTGTTTCAGCATGCAAACTTGCAGAACAGCATGCTGCATGGTGTTAGAAACATAACAATATAGGTTATTAAGAGGCAGCATGACAAGATTTTTAATTTCTATACTGATGGTATAACAAATAAGGTTATGATCAAGCATAAGTTTTTGCATGGACTATGGTCAGCAGAGCTTGTTGCTGTGGTTTATAAGAGGTTTAAGCAAAAGAGAAGTAATGGGATGCCCATTTCTAGCCCCTTCTTTATTGTAAACTAGCCAGATATTTTCACCAGAATTTAAAAATGAATGCATAATACAATGTGTATTGGCGATGTAACAGCAATATGTACCAGTATACGTACAGTACAGTTTACTGTACAGGTACCTATAACCTCCTATCTTGTAATGAAATACTTATCATTGTTTTTATGCTTTATACTTGTAACTGCAATTTTTGTTGTATCTTTGCAGTATGTGTATTACATACAATTAACTTTAAAATCTACGTTTTATGTAAAATCACAATCTGGGTTCCATACCACTCAAAAGTGAGGAGGTCTTAGAAATCTGTACACAGCTTGACCCCCAAGGTGTTCAGAATTTTGTGATTTATATTTAGGTATAGTAAGAACAACACTGCTGTACTGTATGCTATTAAAGTTAAGAAGATATTGACAAACTGAATAACAGAGCAGTGTTCATATAATCACAATAGTAGAGTTAAAGTTAGAAGCTTTAAAGAACTGAGAAAGGTGAGAATGCAGCTAGCTTTGTTTACAAAAGTAAAGTATAAAGGCATAGAGAGAATAAATTATAAATATTGTTGCTACAGTAGAACGTCGATATAACACAAGATACATTCCAAGAGAGGTCGCTTTTAACCGAATTTGCACTAAATCGAAGTGTTGTTTCAATGGAATAATTTAGTTTGGTACTTGAGAGAAACACAAAATACTAAAAAGACTGAGAGTCTACCCAGATGCACCTCAGCCCATCTCCTAGAATAAACAAAACATTGTATTTTGTAGTATTATGCTAAAACAAACACTCATAAATCAACACAGCTAAAATTACGGGGTGCGAAATGGTTTGTTTACTAGCAATCAGCTGATGTGAGAGGGTGGTCTTGCTGGTGCTTCGCACCACCCACCTCTCGTCTGATTCACCAAGCACTTTCACTTTCCTCTCAACTTAGTTTTTATTTACTTTATGCTACCAAAAATAGATTTTCACTGAACTTTAGTTAGACAATTCATCCTCTGAAGATGCAGAGCCCAACTCGACCAGCTCATCATCCACATCACTGTCCAAATTGTAGCCCCACACTTGAAGCACCATTTCCATGCTGCAGTGCTTCCAACACCTTGTTTTTCTGCTCCAGAGTAATTGCTTGCCTTGATTTTTTGGCCTTTGGGGTAGTTAATGATGTAGTAGCTGGCATCTTGGACATAGTGGCGATGGTTGATGCACGTGGTAGGAGATAGTGTCACACAGTGTGTCCGTTCACTAGAGCGTTAGTGTGAGAACAGAGGATGCGTGAGGATGTGAGAGGGTGGCAGGCAGTCATGTAGCGTGCCCAGAGACGCGTCTGGTGGGAAACATTAGGTGTAAAATTTAAAATAGGAGGCATCATACTGACTCACACAAAATAGGAAAGATTCGCTTTAAATTTAAACATTGTCCTTAATTGTGGGTGTCGCTTTAAATCAATAATCTTAAATTGAATCGCTTTAAATCAACATTCTACTGTACCTGTACTTTTTCCCCACGAGTTATTTGCTACCACATACAATATTCTTTTCAAGTAAGCAGCCGAGAAGAGTGTTAATGCAATTGACGAGGAACCATCAAGCCCTCAAAATCCTGAACATATGTGTGACAATGGATAACATCGGGCAACTGTCACCATGAATCTCCGGTTTAATTTGATCACTATTAATTTCAAAAGCTATGTGAGCACAATAATACAGGTAGTACTTAAAAAAATCGGAAAATCGGATTTTTAACTACCCTGCGATATAAATTTACCGTGCTCAAACTAGTTCGCTGACCTGCCAAGCAGTGGCGCGTTATAGCACATCAGCTGACTGTAGGTGTAAATAAACAACACTATCGTCACTGAGCACATGGTACAAGATTGTATTTACCTCACCAAAGCCCAATTATTATGTTACTAGTTTAATTTCAGTTACAGGGGGTCCCCGGGTTACGAACGGGTTTCATTCCTGAGGACATTTTTAAGTCGGATCTGTCCGTAAGTCGGAGCACATGCAATGTGCATACCATACTTACAGAACAATGTTTAAAACCCCACTATATCATAGCCTAAGTCCTTATATACATCCAGAATCACTTAATTTAAGACAAAAGAAGAAATAGAATGACAAAATACAGTAAATGGAAGTAAAATTAAGTCCTCGGGTAAATAAAATACTGTAAACTTCAAGTTTAACCCAGTTCGTATCGGCATTCGTTCATAAGTCGGGGACCCCCTACATATTATGTAATATCTTCGTTTGCCAGAATTGAAATTTTCTCAGAAAATTCTGAGAAGATTTTCCGAGTACATACAGGTACCCAGAAAATTCCAGGGATAGGGTAGTTTTTTCCTGGGTTGAGAAATGAAAATTAGGCACAATTTCCGGTACCCGGAAAATTCCGGGGACGGGGTATATTTTTCCTGGTATGAGCTGTGAGCCTGCATATGTGCAAAAGAATATACAGGTACTCCTCTACTTACGATCTACTTGACTTACGACCGCCGGAGTCATATGAAAAATTTTTCAAATTAAGTATTTTCGAGTCCCAACATAGTGATCGTGCTGTGTACTGACAAAATTTTTGTTTGTAATTCTTTTTAAAATGGCTGGCAAGCGTAACAGTGAGAGTTCTCGTGGTGCTGAGAAGAAAAAGAGACACCCATTTTCGATTTTCTATGTATTATTTTTGCATCTTCGACTTACGACCAATTCGACTTAGTTGTCGGTCCCTAACCCCGTCGTATTTCGAGGACTGACTGTATTATACTTCTGACAGTGTTTTTCTGTGCATATGTATGTGTATACAGTGTATTTTCGTACTGCAGCATACATGATATAGTTTAGATTAGGTTGTAATCAGATTGCTCCCAAGGTGTAAGCCTTTTTATGCTTGTGTTTCTGTGAGTGTATGTGTGTGCATAAGAGTACAGTATGTGTAAATGAGATTGTATCTGTGTAAGTTTGTCTGTCTGCATTATTATGTGTTTAAATGTAATAATGTTTGGTATACAGCATATAGGAATGTATATGTGTGTGAGAGTATCTGCTTTTGTATTATGGGTCTGTGCTGTACAGTAAATCTTTATGTTGGAGTATACATTATTTACTGTAGATTGTAACTAAAAATGGGAGATGTTGACCACTAAGCAACCAATTAGTGCATGGGATATGCTCCACCCCCTTTTATACATACACACACACCTCCACATGTCATTTTAGGCTTGGCTGTCAGAGGAGCAAATTTCTATTTTGAAAATGTTGCATATTGTCATTCATATTGCTCTATCAGCCCTCTTTTTTTTTAAATATTATACAGTACTTAGTATTGCATTACTTCTTTAATGTGTTTGAAAATGTATAGTATTAAAAGAAGTGCATTCAGTTGTTCAAGCAAGATGCAAATGACAAGCTGGTAGTTTACCACTGAGATGAGATGGGGTGAATGGGTTCCTTGTGTAACACCATTACCACTAGTGGCCCTCTCACTTTTACACCTCCATGTGTAGAGCAGGTGGTTTTGTGCCTCACCTGGGGTACGTGCACATTTCTCGATCTTTGGATCTTTAGTGCTTTGTACCTGAGTTTGTAGAGAATATATTATACGGTAGTTAATAATGAATGAGAAAGACTGGTACCCATTGCCATGACACTGTTAGGTGCTGTTTCTGGTGCAGAAACTGCATTGATGCTGAGATGCCTCTCAAAATAATGGGGGTTTACTGGATTAGGCTTGTTAATATAGTGTGGGATTGACCATTCGGAGCAGAAACTTGTCTTTCCAGTACAGGCCAGAGCTTTTTTCATAATATTTAGACTTTTCTTTAAATAGGGGGAGTTGTGACCATCGCTGGTATGTGCATTCTGCTGTTGAACTATAATAGGCGGGTTAATACTTAGTGTTCAGTGTGTTTGATCTCCAGTAGTCAACCAGAGCCTCAGTCATGAAATGGAATTTATTACTTTAGTCCTGTGTTTAGTTTCTGGAAGGTTTAGTGATCCTATTCTACTCATATTGTGCTTATAATGGTTATGTTTTAGGAGTTGGATATTTTGGGTAATGTCTATGATTACATTATCTGTAATTTAAGAAACTGATGTAACAATTAAGATAGTAATTGAAGAGGTATGTTAATGAATACTACTTTCCAGGTTTTGAATATGGAAGATGATATGAACTGGTATAGGGCAGAATTGGATGGCAGAGAAGGACTTATCCCCAGCAACTATATTGAAATGAAGAGTCATGAGTAAGTTTATATTCTCTCTTTCTCTCACATTTTGTATCTCCTCCCACTGCTTCTTGCATGAATTATACTGTAGATGAATGGTTTTCACGCCATCATGGATCCAACCACAATCACTCACCATGCAGCCTACTAAGATCTTTAATCAGTCCTAATTAATACTGAGATCTAGAAAAACCAAATCTTGATTATTTGGGGTATAATTTCTGGACAAGCTTGTGTTTATGCAATTTAATTATCCGTATCAAATGTTCATAAAGAAAAGGCAAGAGGCCACTAACATTCAACACAAATTTGATGTAAAGTACATCAAATACGAATGGCAAAACAAGCAAAAGCTAGCTATAGCTAACCTTAACAGATGAATTCATGAAAAGCCACAGCATTAGTAAAATCGGCACCTGCAAATTATTGTTTTGCTGGAAAGTAAGGTGGTGCATTCCAACCACTTTTGTCAGACTCCCTATTGCCCACAGAAATACTTACACACACACAATATAAGACATTACATTGGACAAAATTGTGTAAAATACCATCAGTAGTGTGTTAGCTGCCATTATGCCATCCTGTGAGAGTAAATGGTGAGGAATTTGAGGTGAAAGTAAAATCTATCATGGGTCTTTCATGTCCTATACTGTTTATCATGGTGCTGCTAGAGGCTCTGTTGTGATATTTTAGGATTGGTCTGTCCTGGAGGTTGTTTGTCGGTGACTTAGTGTTGATAGCAGATAGTACAGTATTGATATTTAAGGAATGGAATCTAAAGGCATAAGAATGAACCTGATTAGTGGCATGGGTGAAGGACCTGTGGTGGAAAGTGGATAATAGTCATGTGCTGTCTGTAAGAAGGTTATTAGGAGTAACTCTAATGCATAATTAGTGTGGTAGGTAGGCACACAGAAGGTTCAGCGGAGTAAATTAAATATTGCATGGTGTTTGCTGACTTAAGTGTGCTATATTAACATGGTTGGAAAAGCTTGACATTGGGATATATCTCTGGATTGTATCATTTAGTTTTACTAACTGGGTGACATGATCAGTGCTGAAAATGGTGCTGAAACCAACTCAGTTGCAGGAGTCAGAAGTGTCTGGAAGAAGTTTAGGGAGCTGTTGCCTTTATTGATGGTGAGTGAAACTTCTCTTTACTTGAAAGGAAACATGTATGAGAAATGTTATGTATGGCAGTGAAAAATAGGTAGTTAAAGAGGAAGACATATTTAGGCTTGAATGGGCTGAAATGAGAATGATGAGAAGGGTGTGTAATGTGATGGTGAGAAATAGCAAACCCTCTTCAGAGCTAATGGGGTGGCAGTATTGTAAGAGTACAGTATTTGTGAGGTTTTGCATAAAGGTAGGATAAGATGGTTCAGGCCTGTATAGAGAATGGAGGAGACCAATTGTGTCAAGATATATGTAGGTGCGAATGTGGAGTAGAGTAGAGCAAGGGAGTAAGCCAAGAATGACATGGAGGTTGTGAGAAATGACCTCAAAGATAAGAACCTGATGAGAAAAGCTGCAAGAGATCATGCAGCTTGTGGAGCTGCCACCAGATAATCACAGCTAAACCAAACAAGGGTGGAAAATGGCAGTGATGATACCTCATGTAGAGCTCATGGTGTTTTTCTGGAAAATGGAACATTATAAGTAGCAGCTCTATAAGATGTCAGTATAACTTGGTTCCAATTGAGAGAATGATATTTGATAATGGACATAAAAAATTAATTAAGTTACATACTCACCAGTGCATTCACTCTGGCCTTACATAAGATTATTGACTGCCTCTAGTTGCTCCAAACACAATCCTCCTAAATGGAGCACAACATCTTTCCTTTTTCCTTTCATATGAAGAGAAGGTTCTTTTGCAGTTATTGAAGGCAACAGCTGCTTGAACTCCCCAAATGCTTAGGAATCTGTATCTAATTATCTCTTTTTTTTTCTTATCAATTATACAGTAATATAGATCGATAAGTTTATTGCCTTTGTATATTTTTACATTATTATTATACTTTAGTTTGACTTTGTGTAAAATAATGATACAGAATCCAAAGTTTGTTGTAGTGAAACTTTATTTATTGAATAAACACGGTCTTTGTATACACCTTGAGTCTCCTTGAAACGCCTTAAGTTTTAGCCACATTTTGTTTTGTCTTTTCTTTTTCTTTTGTCTAGATTGTATATAAATGTTGTTTGAAGTAGCACAATTGTTAACATAAAAAAGGAGGTAGTATAGTTTATGAATGCTGGGAAAGGAAGTACAGGGAGTTGTAAGTTTGCTTGGCCCTTAATTTGACTGACCATGTAGGCCTTTACTTTACATTTGTGAATTTTATTTATATATTTATTTATTTTTACATGCACACAATATTACATACAGAATGTGCAAAACAAAAAATTTGATAAAAAACAAAGGGATAAACTTTCTTTGTGTGTTATAAGAGATCACACTAAGCAGGGAAAGGAGAGTGAGGGACCTCAGCTGTTGAGCTGCTCCTGTGTGTAATGAACCAATTGACAAATTTCATTGGCCCACAGCCAAATGACAATACAGGTTGGGTATCCCTTATCTGAAATGCTTAAGGGTCTCAGATTTTGGATACTTTGGGATTTGGGAGTACCTACCTGTATATCCTGTATACAGAACCTGTATAATACAGTACTGTAGCTCACCCAGCAGGGATGGGGCCCAAGTCTATGCACAAAATTCATTTATATTTCATTTACATCATATGGATACATATATTCTGCAGGTAGTTTTATGAAATATGATTTAATATTTTTGGGTATAATATATATGATCAGATGTACTGTACACTAAAGACCCAGAAAGATAAGCAGTCACTACCGTCTGTTTGGTATCACCATGATGCCTGACTCTTAGGCACTAAGCAGTCTGTGTCTTACCTTTATTCATTACACATACATACTTACCCGAGTAAAAGATATGATATATGTCATATTCAGTGTATTAATTATCTACCATAAACATAATGAAATAGAATTTCAGATTTCAGAGTATTTCGGACTTGGGAATTTTGGATAAGGGATACCCAACCTGTACAGTAGTTTTTTTTATATACTGTATTGGTATTATTTTTTATTTATTCCTTATATTAATTGGGATACACTACATTATTTTATCTTGTTCCTCATAAGAGTTGTTAACACTGCTCATCGCGTCATTTTTTGTGGTGGGGCCCATGAAACTCGTTGGTGTTATCTCTACAAATTATGTCTAGGATCATACCTATTATTTCTCAGAAGCTAGGGTTGAAATATAAGTTGATTTAACAATGAGTAAAAGGGAATACTGTATTGTTGGTTCCAACCCTTTGTTACTCTGTATTGTTGTGATCGGCCTGGGTTGGTGGGGCCATGTGGTCCCAGCTGCGTTGCTCCACAACAATAAATATGACCTGGAAAATACCAATATTTTTATTTTTATTTTTTCAAATTTTAATATGTTTTCCAAGATTTGCGTCGTTACTCAGGTGTCCAGTACCCGGGGTGTTTACTGTATACACATGCCTATGGTATATTGCTAGAACGGCACATGAATTATCCAAGAATACGATTGCTGAGCACATCAGCTTGTCACGATTGGTTCCCTGCTACATATCCCCCAGACTGCCTGGCTAGGAATTTCTGGCTAAGTAGCCACTTCCTTTTCATTACTAAGCAAATTATATTTGAAAAATAATATATAATAATCTTGTATATAATGGGCATAAATTCACTCTCTCCCTTTATTTTTATTTGGTGTCTGGGATGTTGCTCAGGTAACAGATAATGCATCATTGTCTCATTCATTTTAAAAAAGAACAAAACTTACCATGATAGAATATTACAGTCTGTATGATATACAGCATGCCCCTCAAATACTTCTTTGTTTTACATGGACAACAATCTTACATACAGAATGTGCAAAAAAATTAAAGTAATTAACATAAGGTCACAAACATAAAAGGAAATAAACTTTCTTCGTGTATTAAGAGTCCACGCTAAGCAGGGGGGGGGGGGGATCTGTGCTGTCTCCTGTATAATGAAACAATTGATAAATTTATTTTGTTGTCCAGCAGCCAAATGGCAATACAGTATATATTTTATTGGTATTGTTTTATTTTATTCCTCACATTTACTGGTGCAGTATATATTATTTTATCATATTCCTCATAGGAGTTGGTGACTAATGGGAATTAAGTTTCAGAGTTGGTAACACTGTTCATTGCATCAGTTGTTGTGGTAGTGGTCATGGCCAAGTTGTGTTGGTGTGAATCTGGTGTCTTGCTACAAATTATGTCTAGGATTATACCTAGTATTTCTCAAAAGCTAGGGTTGAAGTATACAAGAGATATATGAAAAACAGGATTCTTTACAAAAAAATCAGGGGTTGAACTATTCGAGATCGGTATACGCGAGTACTGTATAAAGTATTATGTATTTTATTTTGTTTTGGAAAATATTGGAGGTTGGCAAGGTTTATACATTCCTCTTTTTTTTTTAAACTCTGGAACTTCTGGAAGATTCTAAGTTAACTTAAATTTTTCTTCCTTACCACAAAACTTTGTCCATTCTTTTTGGATTCTTATTAATAACTTCTGTAACTCTAGGGATACCTGTGCTGAGGCAAAAACAAGAAGGCTACAAATAGAAAAAGTAGATAAAGAGAAAGATGATGATTGAATACCAAATGGATGGATAAAAAACCTTATGAAAATAATCTCTGTAGGGCACCCCAATCTGTCCAACTAGGGTACCGAGTGACCCATGCTTACACCAAGTGGTCAGTGATGAAGCTTTAGGAGAGGATATTATCCATACAGGTGCACACACCTTTTCATTTGCAGATTAAAAAATAATTAAATAAATACAAAACTTGGGTGCTAACCCAGAAAATGCAGCAGAGATCAGGGGATGGGCACGGCTATATGAAGCCTCACTACCTATATCTTTCTAAAGCAACTCATATTATGTTCACCAAGTCTATAGGTTGAATATCTAAGACATCCTCAGCCAACCCTCTCATTCTAATAATCAAAACTTACTACAGTACTAGTGACTTCTGTTTTATTAACATATGCCTTCCTGTATAGCAACATTTTCTGTAGAAGGAGCCAAGTGCATTGCCATCAGTATTTTAAGGCCTGAGGAATTTATTGGTTTGCTATACAACTCTAAAGCATTTCTACTACAGCATGGTGATTAGTGCATGTTTAATTTTATGTTGCAAGAATTGTTTGTACTTGATAACTACCCAGTTTGAGTTCAACTGGCAGGTTGGTATATATGGGGATGAGAGACCATATTGTGTCAGAGGGGAACCCAATTCTACATTAAGCAACTCAGTCTGATGCATAAAACAGTGTTTTATACCTTTCTGCTATTCTTAAAAAATTCATCTACAGTAATTCCTCACACAATGTTATCCTGTACAGCACTGTTTCATAATAATGTTGCAACACTTTAGGTACCCATGGCTCTGTCAACATTGTTTTCCAGCCTGCCTGATTCATTATATTGTCACCCAGCATGGATTAGCTACATATTACAGATTCCTTTGATAGCATTATGATATGAGTTTACATTAGAGCCAACAACATTTACTTAGTTTATAACACCTTGAGCACTCTGCTTAATAGACAGGAGCATACACTGCTGTAGTGAATTCCCCAAAACTCTGTACTGTACATTATTTAGATTTTGATTAATAATAGTAATATATAAAAAATTGTCATACAGTAAACCCTTGCTATTCACGGGTTTGCGATTCGCAATTTTGACTTCGTGGTAAGCAGATGGTGGCTAGTTTACAAGCCTCCCGCAGCACAACAAGTCCCGCAAAGTCTCCTCTTCCTTTGTTTGTGCTCATCCATTGCCTGCGACACAGCATGTTATGTTGTACCAAAAACTTTAGTGTGTGTGAAATGGCCACTAAAAGACTGCCTTGTGTCAGTGCTAGTGATGCTAATGGAGTGAAACATTTAGAGACCTCAAAGCCAAGAGGAAACAACTGCCAATCACAATGTTTTCAAGAAAGAACCAGCTGCTTGCCCAGCTGATTTGTCTCCCTCACTTACTCAGTCAGCTGCTGCCGCTCCACCACCTGGCTCCCCGCCACGCACCACCCCACCACCGCCTCTCCACCAACCACTATTGCATCACCTTCTTCCAACAGAGATCCTGATGTACAGTACATTTCATCAAGCTCCAAACTTCCACATACGAAGGAAAGTAGTGTTGGCGACTTAAGTTTCTCATACACATTATAGGTACGCAGTAGTGCACTAAGGTAGTATACGTTGCTATTCGTGGTTTTGCCAATTTGCGTTATTCCTTGGAACATAACTCCCGTGAATAGCAAGAGTTTACTGCATTTCAAAATTAGTATAACTGATACAATTTCAGCCTGGAGGGCCATTACATGCATTTTACAAGAGTATACTGAGTATACTTCATAGAGAAGCTATCAGTATGATGCACAATGAAAGAATATGAGCAGAACAAACCAAATATAGTATATGCATGGTACTGTAGTATATCCTCATCACCTTTAGTGTAAGAACATAGATAATTAAGTTAATGTTTCATTTATTAGAGAAGCATTAAATATTAATATATTGTTCGCTTCATTAAATATCTTTTTATAGGTTTAATAAATTAATATCAAATGGAGACAGTCAATCAGCTGTTGAAAATGTAGTTAGTTCTCTTACCCTCATTACGTGGCAGCACAAGTGGGCATGTCACCTGCTAGTACAGGCCACCAGGCCCATCACTATACCACTCACACATGAGTCACCACATGGGTTACCTTGAGTTTGAACAACTGCAATTCATTCAGCAATTGTTCAGACTCAAGTAATTGAATATTAATTTAATTTATATATATCTTTTTGGATGTTTAAGAAAATGCCATAGAATTGATGTACAGGTACATGTAATGTGTTTTATGAGGCAAAATGGGACCAGAAAACTTCATTAGTCTTATTTTATCTATCACAAGAAAAATTTCTTCCATTATCATCATGGATTCCATGAACATAACCAGGACTACCTGTACTACAGTACATACAATACCCAGGCAAGTCTAAGGGATGAAAACCCAAGTGGCTAAAGAGCCAATCAGTGGCAAAGAGGATAAAAGAACTCCAACTTGTTGAATGGAACTGAATTTCAAAATAGAACTTACTAATATTATTATTATTATTATTTTTTTATCCTTTTGTCCTATTACAGATTTCTTATTCTTAAAAGGAAGCACTTGGTATGGGAGTCTTTACTGCCATAACTCATGCTCTCTGTGACTTCATACCCAGATGACAGAGTGAACACCACTGTTTCCAGTCATCTGAACTGTTGGTTGGCAGCTAAATGATTCTGCATTCATATTTGATTGTTTGGTCAGGGTATAATTAAATCCATTCTGTACCAGGTACTGTATTACCATTAGTAATTAGGGTTTGTTAATTTGGTACTGCAAGTGTACAGCTTTGCACAGGTAGGAGAGGCTCTTTTAAGACTTTATTCTCAAGACAGCTCCTCTGAGTATTACAATGGGTGTTCCTTTATTTACAATAATTGCACTGTTACATAGTTAACATTTTTTTTTAATTTGGTTACTTTATTAAATGTCTTGTGCAAGGCAAAAGAATTACTGAAGGTATTCACAATACTGTACTGATTTATGAGTAATAGCAAAATTTACGTTGCAAAACCCTATACAGAAGTACAATAACAGTAAAAGGGGAAATCCAAATGCCAAGTGCTGAGTATTGTGTTGTTCGAAGCTAGGAGCAGCTTACAGTGTACAGCATCTTCCCTCAACACCCTACACTAAATCATCAGCTCTCCCTGTGATCTACCACATTCTACTCCCACACCACACTACCCTATGACCATCCACATTCCTGCTTTCCTACCATCTCTCACATACTTGTTACCATATGTACTCCAGAAGTTCAAAAGAAGAAGGAAGAAATAGATACAGAAAAAAAAAATTCCATAATTGAGGAGAAAAAATTTACAGTGATATAAACTCAAACTTTTCATTCTTAGCATGTTAGGAATTAGCCTGAAGGATTCTGGCCACATTTTTCCTTTAAGAGTAGATATCACATTATACAGTAATGTAACATGTAAGAATTTATTGTACTCTCAAGCGCAAACCCAAAGTACAGTAATGATGATAAATGGTGTGCAATATGGCAATAATTGCAGCAATAGCATTTTAGCATTTCTGGCTATCTTTTTTCCCTGGTCCTGAAAACTTTAATACAATACTGTATTTGTATTGTCCTGTACTTACATAACTTAATTTCATTATTTAATACATGTACTTTTTTCCTGAATAACTTTATATACAAGATTGTTTTTAATTTTACAGTATTATTCTGGTAAATTTATTCTGGAAAGACATTTACAAACAAAACACAAGAAGAAGTAACATTTTGAAATTGTCCTCATAAATATTCATTCCATCATTAGCATTGAAAGAAATTGATTAATTTTTCCTCTTCTCATTCAAGGAGCCAACATTGATCTGTTAAGGTGGTCTCCAACCTTTTGTAGCCTCTGGGCCACATTTATCATTGTAAATATATTGGAGGGCGTCAAACTTTGGATCTACATTCAAGGAAAAAAAAATCATATACACTGATCAGTTAATTGCAGTTTTACACATCTAACTGTTACCAGTTGCATACTTTTTACATTTACTCTTGGACAGGACGTATGTATTTACCCCAGTGAGAAGGCTGGCTCTCTCTGGACCCGGTCTGGGGTAAATTCACACGTCCTGTACACGACAGTTGTATTAAGTTATTGCATAATCTAATTGATTTCACTCTTACGAAGAATCCCAAATAATTCATAATTTTCAAATGAACTCTTGTGGGCTCCATAATATGGTTCTGCACAAACTACAGGTTGGGGACCACCACACTATTCAGTGATGTACTAGGGTAAAATATCCTATTACAGAAACCCAAAACAATGATAATAGATAGTACACTATGCAGCAATTAAATTGTGTAGATGTGGCACTATGGCAACAGCACACCGTAGATTTTGGGTAATTAGTCTGAATGTCCTGGTTTTTAATACTGGTTCTATATATTTTATATATACAGTATTGTACAGGTTTTATTTATACTGCAGGAGCCTTTTAATGAACATCTTTTTGCAAGTAGTGAGACAAGCCGAGTTCTAAATGTCAACAACCGTACAATGTTAAAATTCTTCTTTTCCTTCATGTTTTTTTTTAATATTTTGATGTTTTGAATTTTTAAGGACTCCCCCATTGTAATACTGCACAATATGTTCTCTTTAATAATATAGTGTTGTATATTTCAATCAACAGATGGTATTATGGCAGGATAACACGTGCAGATGCGGAGAAGCTTTTACTTAATAAACATGAAGGAGCGTTTCTTATTAGGGTCAGTGAGAGTTCTCCTGGTGACTTCTCACTATCAGTCAAGTAAGTTGTTGTTTTTCATTGTATGTTTTGATAGGATGTATAAATGTGCCAGGTTTTTTTCAATATGTTTCCAGGAAACTCGGTGAAATCACAGGATTTCATTGTCATAATATATATATATATATATATATATATATATATATATATATATATATATATATATATATATATATATATATATATATATATATATATATATATATATATATATATATATATATATATATATTGTGCATTGTACTGTATTCTTAAAGAATTTCATCCTTGACTAATGAAATATGGTTGTCTATAATTCTGTCATTTCTTTCTCCTGAATGATGCATGGTGATTTGTTCTATATTTTTCTTCCCATGACAATGAATAATATTTATTTGTTAGTTTGCACCCTGTAATCTTCATTTATTTACTGTAGACACCAGTTTCATATTCAGTTTTTCATCATACAGGTACAGTTCTCCGAAGATATCATACCCGGTATATACTTTTGATCAAAATCTGAATCCTTTCGCAATATCTTTTCTCAGCTCCTTTTTTTATTACTTTATTGTACCATAGCCAGTTTATTTGTTTCCTATTCTTTTTAGTAGTAAATTTTTTAATCTTGTTCATTCCCTTCAGTACTATTGTGTTGTACTAACCCATTAACCAATGTTCTAAATATGTATACAGGTACAGTACTTTATCAATTATCCATGTCTCCAAACTTATATTTGAAACTTTCCAGTGAGTAGGAGTTGATGGTGATATTTGGTAACTTGTTCCACTCATCCACAGCTCTATTTACTAATAATGTTTACTTAATACCTTCCTAAATAAGAATTTCTTGAATTTACAACCATTGCCACATGTCCACTCCTGTTTTGATAGTTTAAGTGCCTAGTTATATTACTTCATTTTAACCCATCTTCCATTTATACGCTTTGATCATATCGCCTCTGAAGCGAATGCAAATATAGTTTTCTGCATTCTCTATATGGAAACTTTCTCAACTTTTTCTGAATGGATTCAAGGGAATCAATATCCATTCTATTGTATAGTGACCAAAACTGAATAGCACAATCCAAGTGTGGTCTCACTAAGGCAAGATATAGTTGTAAGATGACACCTCTGTTTCTGTTACTCATGTTTTTATATATGAATCCTAGTACTGTACTTTGTCAGCTTTATTACATACATAAATACATTGCTGTCTAGGTTTTAAGTTCTTACTTATTGTTACCCCTAAATATTTCTAACAATCAGATTTCTCTATACTGTAATGTACAGTATGTACGTTGTTCAGCTGATTGCTGGTTCCCCAGTTTCGATTTCATTGTTTTAGAACTTAATAATTTTTTCACATTTACGCTTTTGTGCATCCTGACACAAATTGTGTCTAATAATTGGGTAGGACTATTTGCATCAGTGACGTGAATTTTATTATTAAACTTTAAAAAAATCGCCAAAATAAAGTTTTCAAGATAATTGCATAAAATTTTTTGCGTCATAGATGAATACATGATCTTGCGAGGGAAGCTTCCAAAAAGTGCCAAAGCATGGTAGTTCGCGTTTGTCTCTTTATTTCCTCTCCTGCCTTCCTCACAATTAGTCATATCATAATTCCAAGGCCAACATTGAAAAGCTCATACAATTCCGCTTCTATAACTATATTCAGTAATACCTTGGTAGGTTTGTGAGAAAATATCCGAGATATGATGCTGGAAAAAACAAATCTCATATTCAGAGTGTAAAAATGCAGTAGTTTTATTCTTGACTTTTTTTCTGCTTATGCTAAAGCCAAAACAATAACAAAGCCAATTTTGTATAAATCGTGCAATGAAAAAAAAATATTGTGTTATAAATTGGCCACAAAATGAAGTGCATGAGAGGGTTAAATTGCATTTGCCATTTTTTGGGGGTCCATACTGAAAAATTATTTAGGTCTTCATTTAATTTTTCTGAAGCAAATTTAATAATACCCTATTTTTGTGGTGTCAGCAAATTTACTTAAGTTGGTGTCAACACCCATGTTTATGTAGTTAATGCACCTATTTGACATATACTGTAGTATGGTCTGAGTACTGAGCATTGTGGTATGCCACTTGTAACATAACCCCAAGCAGATTTTATACTGTTAATGATGGTCCACTGTTGTTGGCTTTGGGGCCGAAGATCTCGTTCCCCTGAGGCAAAGCAATGCAGAGAGGACAGTTGACATCTCAACTAGGCTGCAACGTGGCTTCTGGGCTGCTGCTTCTGTTCAGATAACACCTCGGCCAGTCTTGCTTAGAAGCATCTTGCTCGTGGTCCCATTCCACCAGCAGTTGTGAACACCAGAGGAGTGAAGCTGTCTTCATCCACATTCTTAAATCTCTCTGCTACACCCTAGTCTTGTCGTTCTCATTCTTCTTGTATGCAGCCTTGAGAGATAGGTGACGGTGTCATGCGGCCATGGGGTCGAATATCCTGACGTCAAAGAAGGCTCGCTGTCCCCGTGTCCAGAATCCTCAAGCGCTGACGTCCACACAGGCTTCGTTGGATGTGTTGGAAGTCCTGTGATAGAGATTCTCACCGTCCAATGGAAGGAGGGTTGGTTCCACCATGACGTCGTGGCAGATATCCTTCAACATTTTGCTGTGAGATCCCTTACTTCGTTATGCCTCATAAACGAAGCCCCCCTTCTTGCACACCACGGCATGGTCAATTTCGTATGGTGAGCCACACATGCATTGGGTGAGCAAACCTTCTACAGGGGTTATGAACGAGTTCCGTTCCTGAGGCCGTCTGTAAGTCGGAACACATACTCTATGTGCACGATATCATAGCCCAAGTCCTTTTATACATCTCAAATTACTTAATTTAAGAGAAAAAAAGAAATTAAAGTTTAACACTTACATTGAAGCATGGGGCTGGCTTGCATGTAGAGATGGGCATTTCTAGGATTGACAGAGGCTTTATTGGGATGAAACTGAAGATGGTGATGATGATGTAGATGTTAACAGGATTGGTTGTGGAGAATCTGGTGAGGTAGAATTAACTGGTTCTAGAGTTGCTGGGAGTTACTCTGTAGATGTTGCAGAGGTTGATGGAACTGGTTAGATGTTGCAGAGGTTGATGGAACTGGTTAGATGTTGCAGAGGTTGATGGAACTGGTTAGATGTTGCAGAGGTTGATGGAACTGGTTAGATGTTGCAGAGGTTGATGGAACTGGTTCTGTAGGTGTTGCAGAGGTTGATGGGACTGGTTCTGTAGATGTTGCAGAGGTTGATGGAACTGGTTCTGTAGATGTTGCAGAGGTTGATGGGACTGGTTCTGTAGACACTGCAGAGGTTGATGGAACTGATTTGGGCTGCCTTTCGACTTTCTTTAAAATAAATTCAAAGGATGGTTGAACTGAAACGTTCTTCTTTTCCTCATAAATCTCTTTGTAGCATTGTAGACATTCAGTAATACTATGAACCTTGGTGAATCTTGCTATGTTGGGATCTTGCTGCTCAAATTTAAACACTCCTTCTTCAATAAATCTGAAACCATCTGCCATTTCTTTTGTAATGAATTGCTTTGGTTCAGGAGTTTTTATTCAGGGGGATGAAGCAGCAGGCTGTCAGAGCTTGTAGGTGATGGCAGCAAGAGGTTGCTAGCTTTCTTGCAAGGGCGGCGGTGGCATTGCAGAGATCACTTGCTGCTTTGCCAAACTTATTACTGCTGAGGATGACTCCCACCCATCTGCATTTAGGCCTGAAGGGTCTGCCCCTCCCTGTGTCTTCAGTGCTTTTTCCCACACCATCCCTCCTGTTATTTTCTCAGACATGGGCAGTATTTGGAGGAACATTGGCACTCTCGAACCTGATCTCTTCCTGTGCACTTGCAGGGGAATGATTTTCCTTCAGTTGCTATAAGGTCTCTGTTTATTGGCAGCACACCACCATAAGATTCCTCTGAGAGAGATTTTACTACCGAAGACACTTTTTCCACGTGTATCTTGTTACCAAACTTTCTGGCAACATCCTCAGTGACACGCTTTCTGTCTCATGAATTTTAGTCTCTCCTGAAGTGTTCTTGCCTCACGTAGGAGACCATCAAGTGCCCCATTCTGCTACATTGTGTGTCCTCTCTTCATTGCTGCCACATTTTCCTTGCACTTAATCATTGCATGTGCCCTGTGGTAGAATAGATGGGGTATTATTGCCAGTATATGAAGAGCTAATGGGGCCAGGGAGCTGTCGTGGGTAATTATTTATGAGGCGAGTCATCTCCCTGATCATTTCTTTGGCGGCTGCACACTTAGGTGGTTCAAAGAGGTTAGCTGGTGAACACTTGACAACTACTGAGTAGGTTTCTTTGACCCACTTCTCTGCAGTTTCCCCCAACATGCCTTTCCATTATGTTGACTGTGTGTCATTCATCTCATGAACAGTATTTTTCGACTGAGTGGGTACATTGCTATCGTCTGGGATGTCGTCCTCAGGTGACAGATCCCTGTCCAAAGGATTTTTACAGCAGGTCCCTTTCCTACAACCCACACACTGTAGTATGTTATTTCTCACACAAACACAAGTTGTACATTTCTGGTTCTGGCCAGAGCAAAGGCACCCACAGTTGCCAACCATGATGTCAAACTGGGAGGGCAGAGCAGTGGGAAAGGTAAATGGTTGTGGTTAGAGCCCGGGAAGGTAAGTTGTGGTGTGGGCCAGGGATGGTTGGCAGGTCGATGGGTGAGGTGGGGTGGGGTGGGCCATGGCCCACTTGTCACTAAGAGCACTAGCGCCACTTGCTTGCCAGTCACTGGCTCTCCAATAACTATCACCAATATCCACTCAAGAGGTCCACAAGTGGATGACACCGTGATCACTTCATGCACTACATATTCACGAGTAATAATTCCGCGAATTCAGTCTGGTTGTCCCCGTTTTTTTACGAAAAACATGGTTCTATCATGACCCACACCCTCCCTCCACCACTACTAGTTCACTCGAAAACCTGATAGCGTAGCAAAAGCAGTCCAGTGGCCTCAGGGTGAC